ATCATCGCATCATCATGTCATCATCATCAACACCATCATGATCATCAAGATCATCATCATCATCGGGACACCATCATCATCAGCAACCTCATCGTCATCAACATCATCAGCATCGGGACACCGTGATCAACCCCACCATCACCATCATCATCGTCAACATCGTCAACATCATCATCATCATCATCATCGGGACGCCATCATCGCCACCACCATTTTCATCATCATCATCAACATAATCATAATCATCAACATCATCGGCATCATCATCTTTAGCATCATCAGCATCATCATCATCATCATAATCATCATCATCATCATCATCATCATCATCATCACCATCATCGGGACACCGACGGGACACCGGCGGGACACTGGCGGGACACCGCGCGGCACCGGCCCCCGGAAATGAATCATGTGGTCCAGCCGCGCCTCAGCCGGAGGCGGGACACCGGCGGGACACCGCGCGGCACCGGCCCCCAGGGAGGAATCATTTGGTTCTGCCGCGCTTCAGCCGGAGGAGACTTTCTTCTTGCCCGCCCACGCAACTTCGCCTCGCCCGCACGCACGGCACGCACGAACACGAAACCGAAACCGATTTCCCGGCAGGGGGGCTCTCCGTTCCACTTCGATGTCACCCCTCACCTCCGATTACTGCTACTATTATTATAACTACTATTCGTACTACGACGACTAGTAGTAGTAGTAGTAGTAGTAGTAGTAGTAGTAGTAGTAGTAGTAGTAGTAGTGGTAGTAGTAGTAGTAGTAGTAGTAGTAGTAGTAGTAGTAGTGGTAGTAGTAGTAGTAGTAGTAGTAGTTGTAAAACTACTACTACGTCTATTACTAGTACTAGTAATAGTACTAGTACTACGACGACTACTACTACTACTACAACTACTACTGCTATTGTTACAAGTTTTATTACTACTACTACTATTATTACTACTACTTCTACGACTACTACTACTATTACTACTACGACGACTACTACTACTACTACTACCGCTACTATTGTTTACTACAGCTACTACTATTACTACTATTATTACCACTATCACTACTACTACGAGTACTGCTGTTACTACTACTACTACCACTACTACTACTAGTACTACTACTACTACTACTACTATTACTACTACTACTACTACTACTACTACTACTACCACTACTACTACTACGACGACGACGACGACTACTACCACCACTACTACTACTACTACTACTTTACTACGACTACTACTACTACTACTACTACTACGATTACTACTATTCATATTTTTAGTATTACTACCACAACTACTACTACTACTACTACTACTACTACTACTATTACTACTACTACTACTACTACTACTACTACTACTATTCTTTATACGACTACTATTACTATTACTACCACTATCACTACGAGCAGTGCAGCTGCTACTACGACAACTACGACTAGGTCTACGACTTTACCACTATTCCTTTTTTTCCTGCGACGACTAGTAGTACTACTGCGACTATCGTTATCAGTATTGCGTGTCGGACATCGGACGGATCGCAACCGCGTTTTCGAATTTCAACCGGGAGGCTTAAGGGAGTTTACTGCATCCAGAAGCGCTCTTACGCTTTCTCCCATCATCGAAACTTGATTGAAACTTCCTCAAGACGTCGCAACCATTTCGGACCGATCGCAACTGGTTATAATCGGTCCGAAGTGGTTCCTGGACTGTCCGGCGTGGTTGTGGTCGGTCGTGTTCCCGGCCCCCACCTGTAGCCTTGCGAGTATATAAATATATGTATTTATACACTTATAACGGCCGTATATTCAGACACATTCTATATATCTATCTATATATTTATATACACATATGTACGTATGTATGTACGTACGTATGTATGCTTGTGTGTATATATATACATATGTATCGAGCCCATACTACATCGTGCGGCAAATTTTGGTGCAATCGATATTGTGCAGCTTATGTTGTCCAGCATAGCTTATGCAATCCATGTGGAGTAATCTCACGGCGGTGACGAGCGGCGACGCGACGGCGACAACATAGCCGCCAGACCCACAGGCAGGCCTAGTTACGGGCGGCGACGAGGCGGCGACGGGGCGGCGACGGGGCGGCGACGGCGACAATATAGCCGCCAGACCGACACAGGCTCAGTTACGGGCGGCGACGAGGCGGTGACGGGGCGGCGACGGCGACACCAGAGCCGCCAGACCAGCCCACAGGCCCACTTCCCGATTCCAGACGCAAGAACCCGTGAGGGCAAACATTGTTTGGGGAACGAAACCAAGGACCTCTGACGATTTTGGCTATTTGGGCCGCCATCCAGGGTCTCCAAGACAGCCCAGGAGGCAGCTGGGAGTGCTCCAAGAAAATCCTCGGGGCCATTCTAGAGCGTTCTCAGTATGCATGCCCCGAACAACGCGCTCTTGACCTCGTTGGAAAAATTGCTCGAGCAACCCCAGGAACGCCCCGATCTCTGGGCTGCGGGTGAATCTTTGTATCACAGAGCAAACCGCTTCTGAGGGACACGGCGCTGAGTACACCACCGCTTCTGAAGGACATTTGCATTACTGAGTACAGGCCATGGCTGCATTTCCCATAGGGACGTGACGACACCCCACTTCGTGATCCGATGCACGTGGCATATGTACGTATGTATGTGTATGTATGTGTATATATATATGGAGGGAGAGAGAGAGAGAGAGAGAGAGAGAGAGAGAGAGAGAGAAAGAGAAAGAGAGAGAGAGAGAGAGAACAGAGACTGGCCAAGCTGCTGCGTGGCCTTGACCCCTACACGGGGCGAGGGCTGGGTTGATGGCCTGACGTCGGCCCTGGCGCCGGCTCCTGGGGCCGCTGTGGCGGCTGGCTGGAGGAGTGCTGCGGCATGAGAGGGGCCTGGGCCCCCCCGCCCGGTCCAGGCAGGGGCGGAGGGTCCCGTGGCCTGAGGCGTCGGCTGCGGCCGTCGTCCGCTGCGGTGCTGGCGTGGGGCCCTGGCCTGCGGCACGGCCTGAGCGGGCGGGTGCGTAAGGCGCCCCGAGCTTTGGCGGAGATGGATCCGCCCGCCTGCGGTCGCCCGACGGCTGTCGGTGTCGCGAAGCGGTGCGCAGAGAGAGAGAGAGAGAGAGAGAGAGAGAGAAGAGAAAACGAGAGAGACAGAGAGAGCTAGAGAAAGTGTGAGAGAGAGAGAAGTCGAGAGAGAGAGAGAGAAAGAGACAACGAGAGAGAGAGAGAGATAACGATACAGATATGTGTATATACATGTATACGTGTGTGTACATATATATATATATATATATATATATATATAAATACATACAGAGAGATAGAGAGCGAGAAATAAAGAGATAACACAATAAAGACATAACGAGAGAGAGAGGGAGAGAGGGGTAGAGAGAAAGTGGAGGGAGTAAGAGGGATTGAGATTTGGAGCTTGGAGCGCTGCGAGGCTGTCTTGGGGCCTTCTTGGGAGGCTCTTGGGCGATCTCAGGGTCCTTTTGTGTTGACTGGGGGCCCTCTTTGGAGCCTCATGGGCTGCCTTGGAGCCACCTTGAGCCGTCTTGGGCGGTAGGAAGCCCAAACAGGTGAGAATATCAAAATACTTGAACAACTAAGGGCAATCTATGATTTTCGCCTCCTCAGGTTATCCTTGAAGGGACTCTAGGAGCCCACCTGGGCCGTTTTGGAAGCTTCTCGAGTCGTCCTGAGGCCGTTTGGGAGCCTTTTATGCCGTCTTGGGCCATCTTGGGCCGTCTTGGGCCGTCTTGGTGTCATCTTGGCTGCCTTTGCAGCCGTCGCGGGGCCTCGCTGGCCGTCTAAAGGCTGTATAGAGCGTCAGATCGCGGAGGCTTTCGAACGACGCGTGTGTTGAAGGGGGGGGAGGGGGGATCGGCAATAGACAGACTAAAGGCACCCCACCAGACAACAGACGAGAGTTCTAAGACGCCCACGCCGTGCAGACACGTCGGCGGATATGTGTGTGTATATATATATATATGTATATGCATTGATTATTTATATATACATATCTGTGAAGATTTTGGCTTGAACAGGGTAAGCATTCCGATACATTGGCTCGACAGCGCTGTTCGAGGTCACCCACGAGTCCAAGGAGTCTCTCATCGCGTGCTCGCCGTCGAGAGAAAGAGTTTCTGGGCACCGGAGGCAGCGATTTCTGAACCCCACACGAGTTTGCGGTCGTCATAATGAGGAACGCGTTGCCCTGTAGGCCCAGTGGATGCAGGACTTGGGGGCGCTCGCTCGTTAAGACATGTAATTCGCGAATTTTGTGATGGGCTGTCAATTTTAAAATATATCGCGTCTGAGACAGTGCCCTGCCGAATAGGATTGCTTGCAGTCTTGGTCGAAGGTCCAACCGAGGCTGCAGGCAACCTCGTTGAGTGCTCAGGCGATCTCTCCACAACTCCCCCTCCCCCTGGCCCGGGCCAGAACGGCGGCGGCGGTTTCGCGTTCGATCCAGATGGCGAGGGATGCGATGACGAGTCCAGCCCAAACGAGTAGTCATCTGTCGAGATGTCATCGGGAAAACGCGCTATGGTCCCAGCAGAGGTTACAGACATGGACTTGCGCTCGTCCTCCTCGTTTTCCCTCCACTCCTTCGCTTTTGCACCTCTCCTTCTCTCTCTTTCTCTCCCTCCCACTCTTGGGTTTTCCCTCTACTCCACCGTCTCTCCCCATCCCTATTCCATCGACGCTATCCCACGTTGTGTCCTTCTGCTCCCCCTCTTCCCCCTGCTCTTCCCCTTATCCTTCCTCTCCTCGATAACATTGAGTTTCGCTAATCTTTTTCCCTTACTGCCCTGCTTCGCATCTCCCATGCCGTCCCTGTGATCCCTCCTTCTCCTTTTACTCGTCTGTTTCCCCTTCCACTATCGCTGCTGTATCCTTGCTCACGCTCCACATTGATTTTACGAGCGCTTTATTGCTGAGCCCCCTTCTTCCCATCCCATTGCTCCTCTTCTGCTCGTCCCCGGCCCGCAGGACAACCCTTACGTCTTCAACGGGGATTTCGTGGACCGTGGATCTTTCTCGATTGAGGTCGGGGACGCCGGCCATCCACCTACCCCGATCTTGGCCAGGGCAAGAGTGGGCTCATGATGTGTGTCTGTAGCAACATTTACGTAGGTGCATTGTAGCCTGGCTGTTTTTCTTTGCCCGGGCAGTGTATCCACCGAAAAGGATGTGCCTGGCCAAGATCGCCGTGGGCCGACGGCCCGGCGTCCTCTTGAGAGGTAATACTGATTATGTTCGCGTGGAAACTGTTTTGCCCCACCTGCATCAATCTCTCCCGAGGAGGGGCCCCGGGAGGACAGGGCTTCCCCTCTTACCCTGCAGCATCGCGATGCTGTCGTTTCACACGCCTGTGCTCTCCGGGCGCTTCGGCCCCACCCTGCAGCACCCCCGCGGTGCAAGACGCAGGCCGAGTCCGAGTCCGAGTCCGAGGGGTCCCAAAGCCGTTCGGCGATAAACGGCCCATTTGCACCGCGATCCCGAAGACCTCACCGGGCGGCCTGTGAGAAATTTGTCAAAGCAGGCGTGCATTGGCCTGCCCACATCGAACGGTCTGTCACCGAATACTTTCGCCTCTCGCGTCCTGCTGCCTCCTCTCCCCCTGCCCCCCTCCCTACTCCCCCTCCTTCTCCCCTCCCCTCTCATCTCTTTCTTCCCCCATCCTCCCCCCCTTCCTCCTGCTTCTGCTCCTCCTGTTACTTCTCCTCCTCGTCCTCCTCCGCAACCGGCTTCACCTCCACCTCCTCGTCCTCCCCGACGAATGAACCACACTCTCCCCGTCCTGCCCCTCCCCGACGACCGAACCGAATCTCCACCCCTTCCCCGTCTCCACCCCTCCTGGCGCTTCGAGCGTGGTGCGCCGGGGGGGGTAGGTCGGGGGGGAGAGCCCGTCATTCGAGCAGCGGTGGTGAGGCGTCCTGGCTTGCCTACAGGCCAGCCAAAGAGCTTTCCAATCACCGATTGTGGCTTGCACGAACTATTCGCAGATGACTTCTGGCTGATATCGTCTTGTATTTAATTCATCGGCTGTATGTTCCAAGCTCATGTTTTTTTCTCGCAGAAGCTTTGTGTTCTGAGAGTTGTGCGTACAGTCAACCCACATAGTAAGGATGAGCGACTTTCCAATCCTTTTGAATCCTTCCCCTTCGGCCCATCCTTGGCCGCTTTCACTGGCCGCGCCCTGCTCGCAAAGTCTCGACATGGCCTTCCCAGGCCCTCGCATCCTTGTCGTGCGTCAGTCTTCTACGGGCTGACTTTAGCGGGCGGATCGGACTGCCAGTACGGTGGGGTGGTCCCCGCTCAAGTCCTGCTCATTTCGGGCGGGTGCTAATGGGGAGTGGCCCACAAGTCAGATGAAGAAAAGGGCTCTCCTTTATGGCCCCTTTGGGCGCCAGTAGGGGCCCCAGAAGGGCCCGCAAGGACCCCTTTATGGCCCTCTTCTTCGCCCCACTTGTGGGTCATCCCTCATTCGCACCCGCCTAATCCTTCGCTGCACCTCTCTTTCGGATGCAACTCCTGGGAGGTCAAATTCTGATTTCGCCCTGGTCCGAAATCCATCTTAATCCGGCGTAATCCCGCTCAATCTGGCCCAATCCCGCTTAATCCCGCTTAATCCCGTTTGAATCCGGCTCAATCCCGCCTAATCCGAGGCCCGCTCCGGCGTGACAGCCCCCCAAATTGGGCTCAATCTTAAATCTTTCTGACGACGACCTCCCAGTAGTTGCCTCCTACTACTCCAAATCCCTTTTAATCGTCCCCCGGGTCCGGTTTTTTAAGGCGCCTTTTTTGTAACCGGGGGGGTCAGGTTTGTTAGGGCGCTTTCTTTGGATTGGAGCTTGGGGTGTCCAGTTTATCAAGGCGCCCCTTCGAAGAGGGGGTCCGGAAGATTAGGGGGATCCGGTCTTTTAGGAAGGGGGTCGATTAATAAGGGATCTGGAGTAGCTCTCTCCTCTCTCCTCTCTCGGCTCGCCAGGCCGTGGGCGCCGGGGCACGCCGCACCCCCCCCTGCTCTGGGGCGGGAGGGGGCGCGGCCGCGGGGGCGGCGGGCGGGCGGTCGAGGGCCGCATTTCGGCGTCAAGTCGGGCTTCTGTCCCTCTACAGCTAAGTCGGGCATGTCCCTCTACAGGAGGAGTATTCAAAAATAGTAAAAATAGTCCTGGGACGATTGTTCGACCATGTTTGACAATTTTCGATTATTGTTTGACCATGTGTCTTTTTCCGTCCGAAATCCGCCTGTAGGGGGACATGCCCGACCTGATTCTAGAGCGCTCTGGAACAGCCGCTGCACTGCACGGGCGGCCTGAGGGGCCATCTCGGGACCGTACTGGGCCGTCTCGGGTCTCCTGAGTTCCTTTGGGTCTGGCTTGGGGCGTTGGGAAGGCTTTCTGAGGAATCGGAAACCCTCAGAGCCGGAGAAACCCTCAGGGCTGCCTAATCTTGGGGACTTCTTAGAGCCTCTAGGGGTCGACTTTAGGCTTACTCATGAATCGGAAAGGCTGTGGCCTTCTTGGGCTCGTCTTTCGGCCAGAAGGCGTTGAGGATCAGAACCAGGGGCAATTTTCTTCTGGGGTGGTGCGCTTCGAGTGTGGGTGGATTAGGGGGATGCCCATGGACACCTAATTACCGAAGCCCTACCAGACAGCCATGTGACAGGAATTCTGACACGCTTCCAACTCGATGAGGGCACTGGCGGGTACGCCGCCATCCAGCCGTCACAGGCCCAAACTGCGCCCAGATCCTGGTGGACACCCACTTCCTCTAGGCCAGGCAGGTGATACCCACTGTGAGGTTGGCCCCGGGTGCGCTGGTGTGTCCTCTGCCTCCCCTCCTCCGCGCTGGCCCTGAGTCCCGGCTTCTCCCCGAGCCTCACGGGGAGGCAACCACGAGACGAGAAACATGAACAAGCTCTACGGTTTCGAGGGCGAGGTCACCAAGAAGTACGACGAGGACGCGCGCGGCGCCGCTCGCCCCGTCCAGGGGGGTGACAGGGGCCGCGCGAAGAGCCCCCGAGAAGAGCCCGAGGGCCTCTCGTCGGTGCCCATTCGTCGCCGCCGCCTGCCCCTGCCCGCTCCTCGGTCCCGGAGGGCTGGCGGCACGCGGGCGAGCCGCGACAACGCCCGTGGCCGGGGACGCCCCCCGCCATCCCTCCCCCTCTGGGGGGTTTCTTTGAAAGGCTTCGGCGATTCGTCGTCCTCCTCCTCCTCCGTCCTCCTCCTCCTCCTCCTCCTCCCTCCTCTCCTCCTCCTCCTCTCCTCTCTCCTCCTCCCTCCTCCTCCCCTCCCTCCATCCTCCTCCTCCCCCTTCCCCTCCTCCCCCTCCTCCTCCACCTCCTCCTCCTCGGATCGCCGACGGCCCCAGGGGAAACCGTGCACCCCCCTCTGGTCGGCCAAGATCCAGGCCTCCCAGACCAGGTGACCCCCAAACGGGGTGGTGACCACACCGTGTGGTGAGTCGGTGGGGATTCGGAACCGCTGCACGGTCTTGGGACTCGGGTCGTTCTCCGAGGATGTCACGGGCGGCTGGGGCCTCCAGGGTCCCAAAGCCGTGTGGTGACGGACCCTGTTGTGATGTCTTTTGGGATTTCGAGGTCACCGCCGGGTCTGTCACCACACGGTTTTGGGACCCCCAACAGATGGGGTCGGAGTAGATAGGGTCGAAAGGTCGCGCCGCATCGCCGATGCGTCGGCGATGCGGCTCGAAGCCGAGCCTGTCTCTCGCCACGCCGACGGCGCCAATGCATCGCCGACATCGCCGGTGCATCGCCAATCCATCGTCGATGTATCGCCGATGCATCGGCGATGCATCGGCGATGCATCGGCGATGCATCGGCGATGCGGCGCGATCATTCGACCCCATCTACTCCGAGCCCATTTAGGAGGCCTCGGCAAGAGAGGGTGAGGGGGTGATGACTATGTGTTGGTATCATGGCTGAGCGGAGATCTTCCTAGTTTTCATGGCCCCTCTTCTTCTTTTGAATGCGTCCCCCTGAGCTCCCCCTCGTCCGTGCAAATGCCTCGGGTCATGATTTGCGGACCCCCCTTCGGCGCCCCCCTTTTGGACGCCCACAGCCCCTCTGGCAGCGTCACGATTCGCGCACCCACCCCCTGGGACCCCCCCCCCGGACCCCCTCTGGGTGTCAACCCTCTGAGCCCCACCCCCCGGCGGGGAAGGGATCAGAGAGAAGGGGCTTCCTTTCGACTCAGCTACGACGTTGCTCAATGTCGGTTTGTCAGGTGCGCTTGAGGAGGAGGGCCCAGGGAAAGGGAACGGGGGACGACGGAGACGACGATTGACGGAGACGACGAGGAGACGACGGAGACGGAGACGACGACGGAAACGACGAGGACACGACGGAGACGACACGGTGACGACGGCGACGAACGGAAGAGCGTCATCAACACGCCGACAGGGTCGCCGGATGCGAGCGAGGAGGAGGCGGAGGCGGAGGCGGAGGCGAAGGCGGCGGAGGAGCAGGAAGGGGAGGAGGGGGAGGCGGAGGAGGAGGAGGAGGACGAGGAGGAGGATGATGAGGAGGAGTAGGAGGAGGGGGAGGAGGGGGAGGAGGGGGAGGACGAGGACGAGGACGAGGACGAGGAGAAGGAGGACGAGGAGGAGGAGGAGGAGGAAGAGGAGGAGAAGGAGGACGAGGACGAGGACGAGGAGGAGGAGGAGGACGAGGAGGAGAAAGATGATGATGCTGCTGATGATGATGCTGATGCTGATGATTACGATGATGATGATGCTGATGATGATGCTGATGCTGATGATGACGATGCTGATCTTGATGATGATGCTGCTGACGATGATGATTACGCTTGTTATGATGATGCTGATGCTGATGTTGATGATGATGATGCTGACGATGCTGCTGATGATGCTGATGCTGATGATGCTGCTGCTGATGCTGATGATGCTGCTGCTGATGATGATGCTGATAATGATGATGACGATGATGATGCTGATGATGCTGATGCTGCTCATGATGCTGCTGATGATGATGCTGATGATGATGATGCTGCTAATGATGATGATGCTGCTGATGATGATGACGATGATGATGATTATGATGATGACGATGCAGCTGCTGATGATGCTGATTATGATGCTGATGTTGATGCTGATGCTGATGCTGATGATGCTGATGAGGATGATGCTGATGATGCTGATGATGATGCTGCTGCTGCTGGTGATGATGCTGATGATACTGCTGATGCTGATGATGATGATGCCCACGACGACGACGACGACGACGATGATGATGATGATGAGGATGATGATGATGATGATGATGATGATGATGATGATGATGATGATGATGATGATGATGATGATGATGCTGATGCTGATGATGATGCTGATGCTGGCTGATGCTGATGCTGATGATGGTGATGATGCTGATGATGATGCTGCTGATGATGATGACGATGATGTGATGATGATGATGATGATGATGATGATGATGATGATGATGATGATGATGATGATGATGAGGATGATGATGATGGTGATGGGTGTGGGTGATGCGATGACGATGATGATGATGAGGAGGAGGAGGAGGGCGGAGTAGGGGGGGATGAGGAGGAGGAGGAGGAGGAGGAGGAGGAGGAGGAAAGAGGAGGAGGGAGCAAGAGGAGGAGGAGGAGGAGGAGGCGCAGGAGGAGGACGACGAGGCGGAGGAGGAGGATGAGAAGGAGGAGGCGGAGGAGGAGGAGGAGGCGGAGGCGGAGGCGGAGGAGGAGGAGGAGGAGGAGGAGGAGGAGGAGGAGGAGGGGGAGGAGCAGAATGATGATGATGCTGATGATGATGACGATGATGATCATGCTGATGATGAGGGTGATGATGATGATGATGATGATGATGATGATGATGATGATGCCGATGATGATGCTAATGATGATGACGATGATGATGCTGATGCTGATGCTGATGCTGATGATGACGGCGATGATGACGATGCTATGTATTATGATGCTATTGATGATGCTTATGCTCGTGATGATGCTGATGCTGATGCTGATGCTGATGCTGATGCTGATGCTGATGATGCTGAGGATGATGACGATGATGACGATGCTGATGACGATGCCGATGACGCTGATGATGATGATGCCGATGATTATGGTGATGATGATGCTGACGATGACGATGATGATGATGATGATGATGATGATGATGATGCTGTTGATGCTGATGCTGATGCTGATGATGATGATGATGAGGTCGCTGATGATGATGATGCTGATGAGGATGAGGGTGAGGGCTGATGATGGTGATGATGACGATGATTATGGTGATGATGATGATGACGATGATGATGATGTTGATGCTGATGATGACGATGCTGATAATGCTGATGATGATGATGCTGATGATGATGATGATGATGACGCTCATGATGATGAGGGTGAGGGTGATTATGATGATGATGATCATGATGATGCTGCTGATGATGCTGCTGATGATGATGCTGCTGATGAGGATGATGATGATGATGATGTTGCTGATGATGATGATGCTGATGATGATGCTGATGATGATGCTGGTGATGACGATGATTATGGTGATGATGATGATGACGATGATGCTGTTGATGATGATGCTGCTGCTGATGATGATGATGATGATGATGCTGACGCTGATGATGATGATAATCATGATGATGATGAGGGTGAGGATGCTGATAATGCTGATGATGCTGAGGCTGCTGATGATGCTGATGATGATGATGCTGATGCTGATGCTGCTTCTGATGATAATGCTGCTGCTGCTGATGATGATGATGCTGATGCTGCTGCTGATGATGATGATGCTGATGATGATGATGATGATGCTGATGATGATGCTGATGATGCTGATAATGATGATGATGCTGATGCTGAGGTTGATGATGATGCTGCTGCTGCTGATGATGATACTGATGATGATGACGATGATGCTAATGATGATGATGATGATGCTGATGATGATGATGATGAGCCGATGATGATGATGATGATGAAGATGATGATGATGATGATGATGACGACGACGTGACTGACTGACTGATTATGATGATGTGATTGATGATGATGATGATTATGATGATTGATGACGACGACGAATTCTGAAGAATTCTGTGATGATGATGATGATGATGATGAAGCTGATATTGATGATGATGGTGATGATGATTGATGTGATGATGATGATGATGATGATGATGCTGATGCTGATGATTTTTGATGATGATGATGCTGATGATGATTTATGATGCTGATGCTGATGCTGATGATGATTATGATGATGATGATGATGATGATGATGATGGTGATTGATGATGATTATGATGATGATGATTGATGATGATGATGATGATGCTGATAGATGATGATGAGGAGGAGGAGGAGTGGAGGAGGAGGAGGAGGAGGAGGAGAGGATGATGATTATGTTATGATGATTCTGATGTTGATGCTGATGCTGGATGCTGATGCTGATCTGATGCTTGTTGCTGATGATGATGCTGATGCTGAGGAGGATGAGGCGGAGGAGGAGGAAGGATGAAGGAGGAGGATGAGGAGGATGGCGGAGGAGAAAAGAGGAAGATGGTGAGGGGGAGGAGGAGCAGGAGGAGGAGGAGGAGGAGGAGGAGGAGGAAGAGGAGGAGGAGGAGTGAGGAGGAGGAGGGGGATGAGGATGAGGAGGCGGAGTAGGAGGAGGAGGAGGAGCATGAGGAGGAGGAGTAGGAGGCGGAGGAGGAGAGTAGAGGATGAGGAGGAGGGGGAGGAGGAGGGTCAGGGCAGGAGGAGGGAGGAGGGTCGAGGAGGAGAATTGAGAGGTGGCGGAGGAGGGAGGAGGAGGAGGAGGATGAGGAGGTGGTGAGGAGGAGGGAGGAGGGAGGAGGGAGTAGAGAGGATGGGCGGGGGAGGATGGAGGAGGAGGAGGGGGTAGGGGGGAGGGAGAGGAGGAGGGAGGTGGGAGAGGGAGGAGGAGGAGGGAGGAGGGATGAGGGGGAGGGCGGACGGAGGAGGGAGGAGGGAGGAGGGAGGAGGAAGGAGGAGAAGGATGATGATGATGATGCTGATGCTGATGATGATGATGATGATGCTGATGATGATGATGCTGATGATGATGATGATGCTGATGATGATGATGATATTGGTGATGGTGATGACGATGACGATGACGATGCTGATGCTGATGATGATGATGAGGAGGAGGATGAGGATGAGGATATTGATGCTGATAATGATGATGACGATGCTGATGACGATGATCATGCTGATGCTGATGATGATGACGATGATCATGATGATGATGCTGATGATGTTGATGAGATGATGATGATGATGATGATGTTGATGATGATGATGATACTGATGATGCTGCTGATGATGCTGATGATGATGATGATGATGGTGTTGATGATGCTGCTGATGATGCTGATGCTGATGATGCTTATGATGATGCTGACTATGATGGTGATGATGATGATGCTGATGATGATGCTGATGATGATGATGATGATGCTGTACATGATGATGATGCTGATGGATGCTGATGATGATGCTGATGATGATGATGATGCTGATGATGCTGATGATGATGATGATGATGAGGATGATGATGATGCTGCTGATGATGATGTGATGAGGATGCGGATGAGGATGAGGATGATGATGCTGCTGCTGATGATTATGATGATGCTGATGATGACGATGATATGATGATGATGATGATGATGATGATGATGATGATGTATGATGATGATGATCTGATGATGCTGATGATTATGATGATGATGATGAGGATGATGATGTTGATGGCTGAGGTGATGATGATGATGATTGGTGATGATGAGGATGTTGATGTTGATTGCTGATGTGATGATGACGATGACGATGACGATTGACGATGACGATGACGATGATTAATGATGATGATGATGCTGATGATTATATGATGATGATGATGATGATGAGATTGTGATGATGTATGATGATGATGCTGATGATGACGATGACGATACGATGATGATGCTGATGATGCTGATGATGATGATGAGTAGGAGGAGGATAGGAGCAGGCGAGGCGGAGGTGGAGGCGGAGGAGGAAGAGGAGGAGGAGTAGGAGGTGAGGAAGAGGATGAGTGAGGAGGATGAGGAGAGGAGGAGGAGGAGGAGGAGGAGGAGGAGGAGAGGAGGGGAGGAGTAGGAGGAGGAGGAGTAGGAGGGGGAGGAGGAGGAGGAGGGATAGTAGGTCTCTTTGGACCTCTTGGGGGCCTCTTTTGGGCCTTGGGGGACTCTAAGAAGTTTTTGGCCTGCGGAGGCCGTCGTGGGGCCTCCTTGGGCCGTCGAGGGGTCATCGTTGGTCGCTTCAGGGCCGTCTTCGAAGTCTCCTGGTCGTCTTGGGGCAGCCTCGGGGGCCTTTGGGGGGCCTCTTGGGCCGTCTTGGGGGGATGGTGGACTGGCGGTCTTGCTGTGTCTGACTGGTGCCATCCATCCTGGCGCCTCTCATGTGGCTCCTCCTCCTAATCCTCCTCCTCCAGCTCCTCCTCTGCTACTCTCATCGCGGCCCCTCCAGCATTCGCGCAATGCGTTGAGGGTCTTACGTCCCTGAACCTTCTGATGAAGATCTTTTGCGCAGGCATGCGGATGCTAGGGCCTACCGCCCGCGCGGACAGGACCTCTACCAGCTCTTTTGCGAGGCGTTCTGTGTATTGCCCCTGTGCCATTGCATCAACAGCAAGATTTTTATTGTGCATGGAGGCCTCAGGGCCCTTTGCTGCGATCGTCAGCCTCATGCCCTCCATCTTCCCTCCCTGCCTGCCTGTCTCGACTTCTGTTTCCACTTGCCCTCCCCCTCTCCCTCCACCTCTCCATCTCCCCTTCTCTCTCTCTGTCTCTGTCTCTTTCTCTGCCTCTGCCTGTCTGTGTCTCTCTCTCTCTCTCCCTCTCCCTCTCCCCATCTCTCTGGATCTCTCTGTCTCTCTGACCGCCTCTCTGTTTCTGCCTCTCCTTCCCTCTGTCTGTCAGTTTTCCTGCTTCCCTGCCTGTCTGACCATCAGTATGCCTGTCGGTCGGTCGGTCGGTCGGTCGGTCGGTCCGTCTGTCTGTCTGTCGGTCGGTCGGTCGGTCTGTCTGTCTGTCGGTCTGTCAGTCGGTCTGTCTGTCTGTCTGTGTGTCTGCGTGTCCGTGTGTTTGTGTGTCTGTGTGTCTGTGTCCGTGTGTCTGTCTGTCTGTCTGTCTGTCTGTCTGCCTGTCGGTCTGTCCGTCCGTCCGTCCGTCCGTCCGTCCGTCCGTCCGTCGGTCGGTCGGTCGGTCTGTCGGTCGGTCTGTCTGTGTGTCTGTCTGTCTGTCTGTCTGTCTGTCTGTCTGTCTGTCTGTCTCTCCCCCTCTCTCCCTATCTCTCCCTTTCTCCCTTTCTCTCTCTGCGGCCCTGGCGGGACACGGCCGCACCAGCCTAGCGTCCACGGGGTCGTACCCAGGCATAAACAGGTGTTCGCGGAGACCCAGCGTCGTATCGTGAACCGAAGGGCTCCCGAGCGCCTCGAGCGACTTCTCGGACAGGTTGTGTTCCGATTCTAGCTTTGGGCGGCGCATCCTGCTGGGGGCCATGCACGCCCGAGCCCAACGGGTGCCCTCCGCGTGGGCGGCCGCTTGCCCCTAGAGTTAAGTCGGGCACGTCCCTCTACAGTAGGCACATGCAAAAATAGTAAACAAACAGTCTGGGAACGACTCTTCGACTATCTTTTTGACCGCTTCTGAATATTTTGGGATTTCCTTTTCCATCCAGCATCCGCCTGTGGGAGGACGTGCCCGACCCAAACCTGGAGACGACCAGCTGGCCCCCCCGCCGTGTTCGCCGAGGGGCCACCGGGTGCAGCAGACGGCGGCCCTGGCGAGCGCCGCCTTCGCTCGGGCCCCCCCCCGGCCTGGCTCCCCCGCGGGGGTGTGAGGGGAACAGCGAAGAACAAACAGCGCTGTAAACATACACGCGATGCGCTGTTCCAGGTCGGGCATAGGTCGGGCATGCCAAATAAACGCTCCAAACTAGTCAAAACAGAAAGCCAGAAACATTGTCCCCAGACGATGTTTGACCATTCTTGGATTTTCCTCCTGTAGAGGCACATGCCCAATTCAGCTCTATAAAAAAATTGTATAAACAGAAACGTTCGGCGCCCCGCGCGGATTTCTCGGATCCGCCGCTGGGCCCCCATTGGCGGCGCCTCCAGCGCCGCCCCTGGCGCGCTCCGCGCGCTAGGGAGGGGTGTCCAGCGCAGGTCCAAGCAATCCGCGCGGAGCGCCCATAGTTTATACTTATGCAGCTTCTCTCCGTCTGGAACTAAATGGGGGATGTCCCTCTACAGGAGGAGTATTCAAGAAGAGTAAAACGATAGTCTGGGGACGATTTTTCTAGTTAATGTTGTTTTTGTTGTTGACTTTTTGGGGGTATTTTGTTTGACTCTGTTTGATTTCTGTTTGCTAATGTTCTTTCCAAATCCGCCTGGATCTAATTCGGAGGACACGCCCGACCTAATTCTGGAGCAGCGCTTCGCGTGTCGCGGCCCGGGTCGGACAGCTGGTTATCTCCAGGGGCGCGAGGGCGCGAGGACGTCGAATGGCCTTCGGCCCATCACGCCACCGTACTTGGGTGGTGGGTACGGCAGGTTCGCGTCGTGCCGACCGGCGGCGACCCCAACGCGTGCGGTCAAGGTGGCACGCTGCCCGTGGCCCAGAATCGGCCCGTCGCTGAACGATCCGGCGTTCACGGGACGGCCGATCGTTCCGGTTTGAAGGATCCCCGCGGCGTCAGGAACCAACGCCAGGGTCGACACGACGCGCACTTGCCGTATGGAGCCTATCGGATGTTTGGTGGGATCTTGTGGGGAGCCTTTCGGGGCCTCTGGGAGGCAGTCTGGAGGCCTCGTGGGGGCCGTTTTGGGGCCTCTTTCGGGCCTCGTGAAGGCCTCTTGGGGCCTCGTGGGGGCCTCCTGGGCGCCTCTTGGGGCCTCCTGGGGGCCTCTGGAGGCGGACAGCTCGGATTTTCGGTTCGTGCTCCTTCTCATGGGCCGTCTTGGGGCTGTCTTGGGGCCCTCTTTGGCCGTCTTGGGCACCTCTTGGGCCGTCTTGGAGGCCTCTTGGGTGACCTCGTCGAGGATCTGGACAAGGAGTGCCAATGACATGCCCTCCGCGCCAAGGCGGAGCGCATCTGGGTATGGTCGCAGCGCATGCGCGGCCCACCGTCACGACACGAGCCCTCCTTACCAGTCAGCCCAGGCTGCCCCGCTAAACCGCTCGCAGAGTCAGACACGGCCGCAGTCTCTCTCTCGGTCACTCAATTTTTGTTGTTTCCTGTCCCTCTCTTTCTGCTTTGGTGTTCTCCCTCTCTCTCTATCTCTCTCCCCTTGTTTGTTTCTCTCTCTCGCTCTCTCTTTGTTATGTATCTCTCTCTCTGTCTCTCCTCTCTTGCTTGCTCTCTCTCTTTCTCTCTCCTCGATCGTCTCTCTCTCTCTCTCTGATACGCTCTTTATTTTCGTTGTTCTCTCTCTCTCTCTCTCTCCGCTTCTATATTTCTCTCCCTCTCTCTATCTCTCTTTCCTTCTCTCTCCCTTTCTCTCTCCTTTTGGTTTTTATGTGTGTTCAGTATATTTACACACATATATATATATATATATATATATATATATATATATGAAAGAGCGTGTTCTACCGCTGCTGGCGGAAAACCGGGGGGGGTCACTACCGGTTCGAACCCCTCCCCCCCCCCTCCGGAAAACCGGGGGGGGTCACTACCGGTTCGAACCCCTCCCCCCCCCCCCCCCAGCTCATCATGAAAAGGGGGGGGGGTCACTACCGGTTCGAACCCCTTCCCACCCCCCCCCCTCGAAAACCGGGGGGGGTCACTACGGGTTCGAACCCCCCCCCTCCCCCCCCTCGAAAACCGAGTGGGGGTGCGGACAGTGGTGGGGACGGTGTTGGTGGGGACAGTGGCGAGGGGATAGCGGGACAGTGGTGGGGACAGTGGGACAGTGGGACAGTGGTGGGGACGGTAGTGGTGGGGACAGTGGTGGGGACAATGGTGGGAGCGGGGGGGACAGTGGACAGTGGTGGGGACGGTGGTGGTGGGGACAGTGGTGTGGGCACAGTGGAAATGAGGTGGAAACAGTGGGACAGTGGAGGGTACAATGGTGGTGGGGACAGTGGTGAAGGCGGTGGCGAGGACGGCGGTGGGACAATGGGACAGAGGTACAGTGGGGACAGTGGTGGGGACAGTGGGTACAGTGGTGGGAACAGTGGGACAGCTCAGTGGGACAGCGGAGGAGTCAGTGGGACAGTGGGGACAGTGGGGATAGTCGGGCAGTGGTTGGGGCCGTGGAGACAGTGGGGAGAGTGGAACCGTGGTGGGAACAGTTCTGGGGACAGCGGGGACAGTGCGACAGGGGTGGGGCCACTGGTGGGGACAGTAGGGGCGGTGGTGGAACCAGTGGGGACAGCGGTGGTGAGGACAGTGGTGCTGGGAACACCAGTGGGGGATGTGATGCGGACGGTGGTGGGGACCGGGAGTCGTTTGCTGGCGGTGAGTAGGGGGGGGGGGGCGGTGAGTAGGGGGGGGGGGGGGGGGGGGGGGGGGGGGGGGGGGGCTTCGAACGGTAGTGACCCCCCCCCGGTTTTCCGGATCCGGAGGGGGGGCGGGGGGGGGAAGGGGTTCGACCGGTAGATGACCCCCCCTGGTTTTTCGAGCGGGAAGGGGGGGGGGGGGGGGGGGGGTTAGGGGAGGGGGGGGGTTTTGCCGGGGGAAGGGGTGGGGGGGGGGGAGGGGTTCCAGCAGGGGGGGGGGATTTTCGGAGGGGGGGGGGGGCGACCCCCGGGTTCCGGAGGAAAAGGTTGGCAATTTTCCACAGTAAAGCGGCGGTGGATCACGCTCTCTCTCTCTCTCTCTCCTCTCTCTATCTTTTCTCTCATCTCTCTCTCTCTCTCTCTCAATATTAAGATAAATATATAAATATATATTCGCTCTCTGTCCCTTTTCCTCCCACTCCCGTCTGCCTCACCCTCTCCTTCTCCGTTCGTCGTCACTCCTCTTTCTCGTTCTCCTGTTGCTCTTTCCTCTTCCTCCCCCGTCCTCCTCCGCCCCCTCACCCCGCACACAGAACGAAGACTTCTCACCACGCGCATAGAACGAAGCCTCATCCCCGACGTCCTGCTCCTCCTGCTTCTCCTGCTCCTGCTCCTGCTCCTCCTCCTCCTCCACCACCTCCTCCTGCTCCTCTTCCTCTTACTCGCACAGAGATTTCTTGGTTGTCCCGCGTACGCACACACCGACATTTTGAGGGCGTGGCCACCACGCCACCACATGCCCAACCCCCACCTGGATGGCTAATCGTCGCTGGCATCACGTCGGCATTGGGAGAGGCTAGAGCACAACGCAAGAACGATAACTGCGCGCGGAAGGGTGTTCAGATATGGCAGCTCTAGGTGGGCAGCCAGACACAACCAACTGGGACGAAGTACGCGAGCATAATGGGGCAACCGGCACACCACGCAATGGTTTCTATCGGCACACGGATTCATACGATTAGCAGGTGTTGAACAGACATTGAGAGGGGAATATATCCAGGATCCTCCCTGCTACGGCGCGTCATCCTTCTCCACCTCAACCTCCTCCACCTAGCGCCTCCTCAACGGTCACGGGGGGTACGGTTTGCTCACGTTGTCGGTGGTCTGCCGCCACTGCTACTCATCGAGTGGCTGGGTCCCCGTGGAGCGCACTCCCTGGGGTCCGCATGCATGGCATTGTCCTGAAAGTCGGCACTTGTACTGCAAGGGGGGGGGGATGGGTGCATAGGTCTCAGGGGATGGTGTTTCACGAATCTTTCGGTTTCTGGTGCTGCAGCGGTTGCGGGCCTTTCAACATTCTTTATAAAGAGCCCTGCACAAGGGAAGTCGTCTTGAGCACAGCAGGAATACCTGCGCCGTATCTCTGAGGCTATGGCCGAAATCTTTGGCCCGATGTCAACAGACAGCGAGAATTTCGAGTTACCCGTTGTTCATGTGACACTGTCATAGAGGTATCCTATTCTATCCTACTCTCCTTCGCCTCTTCCTCCTCTTCCTCCTCTTCCTTTTCATTCTCCCATAGGAGAGGCTCGAATGGGAGGCTGGGGCCTTGAGACACACTTTTTGTTACCCCATCTCGGCTCTCCTTCTTCCTACCCCCCAAGTGGAGGGAGGGAGGGGAAGGGGAAGGGGAATGGGAAGGAGAAGGGAGGGAGATAGGGGGAGGAGGAAGGAGATTGGAAGGAGGAGGTGGGGAAGGAGGGATACGGGAGGGAGGAGGGACCAAGGGACGGAGGGAGGGAGGATATAAGGAGGAGGGATGGGGAGGAGGATAATGGTATTGGAATCGGCATTCAGTGCGAGTTCTCATGCGGATGTAACAAGCACCAGCACCTGCGTGATATGT